ATTGCCTATGAAACACAAACTGGAGACTCCATGCCCACATGGAGTTTATTGAGGGAAGGGAGAGAAAGGGGGGTAGCTGGTGGCCAACTGAAAGCAGGAGGAAAGAGAGAGAGAGAGAGAAGAAAAGAAAGAAGGTCAGAGAGAAAGCAAGAGAGAGAGGGCAAGAGAGGGGGGTGCGCTTGGCGCACTTGCTTTAAAAGGGGGGCTTGCATAACTGAGTCCTCTGGCAGCCAGGTAAAGCTTGAGCAGCCAGGTAAAGCCTGATGTATCGATGATATGGCCATGAGCAAGCTTCCCTCCCATCGTCGGGGGTGGGGTCAGCAGACTGCTGGTTCCCAACAGTCACCATACCTGGTTTGGAATTTTAGTATATTAAGTCATAGTATATACTATCATAATTTTGGAATATCAACTTCTTTTCTGCCCCTGATACTAATTAAAGTTTCATTGGGCAGGGGAGGAGGATTGATTCATTCTGGTGTTATTGGCACTCCTTACTTGTCCTCTAGTGTGACTTTCCTAAAATTGGACATTCCCATCTACTTTCAAAGAGATTAAAAGATAATTTGTTCTCTCTTGAATGACAGTGGCTATAGAAACCCTTGAATTTCCCACAGTGCCACCTTTTTTTCACTCTTTCTAGAAAGAGAGACCTTATTTCAGCCTCTTAGTTTCCTGCTTCTCAGCTGTGGATGGTACCTGGTATCTCTGCTGAGGACAAGACTTGGGTTTTGTGGGCAGTGAGGTTTGTATGGAGAATCAGGTTTTAATAGCATTCTTCAGGCATGGGAAGCTCCAATCCCATAGAATATTGACTGGTCCCAGAAAGTGCTTTGTTAAGCTTTATCTGCCAGTCTCTGGTGTTTGTCTTCTCCTCTGGTTGCTTTTAACCAGAGTTTTCAAGTTTACTAGCTGGTGGATTTAAAACAGCTCTATTTAAAAGACTTTTCATATGGGCATGTGACCTTGCTCTCTACCTTAGAGCATGACAGGTGGATTCCTGTTTATCTTGTTTAGGTAGTAGACAGTGTGTGGACATCCTGTTGTATCAATATCATTTGTTAAAAAGATTGCAGAGGCAACTTTTAATTGGCCAAAATGTGGGTTTATTTCTGGACTCTGTTGTGTCCTATTGGCCTACATGTCTATTCTTAACACTAGTGTCATAACCTTGTGCTAAATTGTGAAATTAGGCAGAGTAAGTCTCCTAGTTATGTCTCCTGTTCTAAACCTGTTATATTTGTGTTTAGATTTTCATATCCACTTGTAAGTGTCTTCAGAAAAGCCTTCTGGAATTTTGAGAAGAATTACATTTATTCTGTGTATCAGTCAGAAAGAATTGCCAACTTCGTAGTCAGACTTCTGATTGATTGATGAGCATGTTATCTCCTAGTATGTTTACATCTCTAATATCTTTTAGCAGTTTCTGTGTTTTCACTGTGTAAGTCTATAGTTTTTATTGTTAAAGTTATTTCTAAGGTTGGGCACATTGATAGACACCTGTAGTCTTTACTCAGGAGATAGCAGCAGAAGACTAGCTTGAGCCCAGGAGTTTGAACCTAGCTTGAGCAACACAGCAAGACCCTTTGCCAACCTAAAAGTACCCTATCAAACCCAAACAGGAACCTAGGTGTTATAGTTCCTTTTGATGATACTGTAATGGAACTGTTGATTTGCTTGTGTGATGCTAGAGATTACACCCAGGGACTATGCATTACTGACTGCTCTACAGGGGAGCTGTGGTTATCTTGGTTTGGTTTGGTTTCTGCAGACAGGGCCTGGTGTACCCAGATTGGCCTCATACTGAGGCCAATTTAAAATATTTTTTTTTTAGATTTATAAATTTTGTTATTTTATGTGTATGAGTGTATTGCCTGAATGTATGTATGTGTACCATATGCATGCCTGGTACCCACAAAGGTCAGAAGAGGGTGTGAGATATCCTGGGACTGGAGTTAAAGATAATTAAAGATAGTGAGCTGCTCTGTGGGTTCTAGGAATGGAACCTAGGTCCCTCAAGAAGTGCTTTTAACTCTTGAGCTAACTCCTCAGCCCAGAGAATAATCTTGAACTCCAGATCCTCCTACCTCTATCTCTGATTACAGTTCTGGTCTACCCTACATTTTGTGGTACTACAGATTGAATATAGGGCTTCTTTAATGCTAAGCAAGCACTCTACCTGCAGCAGACAATTTTCTTAGAGTTTGAGAGGAAAACAACAGGACAGGCAAGCTATAAATCTCAGCATCTGCTAGGAGGAAGAGTGATAGGCATGCCTTTTCAGTTAAAGTCTAAGAAAGCAGGTAGGTTTAGCAATGGAGGTGGACAAGGAGCTACATGGGATGGGGCTGAGATTTTTGTTTGATTATGTGGGGCTAGGGAGGTGGTTCAGTGGATAAAAGCACTTGCTATGCAAGTGTGAGCCTCTGAGTTTGAATCCTCAGAATCCACACACAAGCCAGGAGCAGTAGCTCAAGTTTCTGTAATCACATATTCCTACGGGGAGATAGAAAGCAAAGACAAGAGACTTTCTGGGAGCTTGCAAGTAGCTATCCTGGCATATGCAGCAAAAAGCCAAGAGCTATTCTTTTAAACAATGTTGAAGCTGACCTACATACACATACTCAAAAAAATAAATTAAAAATTTTTAATTGTTTTTGTGTATCAGTCTTGTACCCTCTAGACTTATTAAACTCGTGTCTTCATTCTAGTAGGTTTTCTTTTGTAGACTTCTTGGAATTTTATAGATTTCTTAGAACTTTGTCCCCCCCCCCCCTTTTTTTCTTTTCTATTTGTTTCTCAAGATAGGGTTTCTCTTTGTAACTTCCTTGGCTGACTTGGAACTCACTTTGTGTTGCATAGTATTTGTTTAACTATGCAAAGATGTGTTGTATTTGTTTAATTATGTAAAGATGTGTTGCTGTTTTTTTACCTTGCCTGCCTAAGGCACCTGATTGGTCTAGTAAAAAGCTGACTGGCCAATAGTGAGGGAAGAAAGAAAAAGAGGTATAGGCTGGATTTCCCTGAAGGGAGAGTAAGTAGGAAGAGGAATTTAGGCTTGGGGAAGAAAGAAAAAAACACCAGGGCCAGGCAGACATGGAGGAAGTAGAAAAGTAGGACATACAGAATGAAAGGTTAAAAACCCCTGAGGCAAAACATAGATGAATAGGAACAGGTTAAATTAAGAGAGCTAGTGGGACAATCCTAAGCTAAAGCTGACATTCATAATTAATAAGTAATAACTCTCTGTGTCTTTATTTGGGAGCTGGTTGATGGCCCAAAGAAAATTGCAACTACAGTTCTGTAGACCAGGCTGACCTTAAACTCAGGGATCTGCCTGCCTCTTCCTCCTGATTGCTGGGGTTAAAGGTGTCACCACTACCTGGTTCCTTTGATTTCTTTTTGCCTCCAAGTACAGAGTTGATTAACACTAATAAATAACCACCCTTGCCTCCTTTCCAGTGCTATTGAGAAGGCACCTATTATCTCACTATTAATTTAATAGGTGTTTTGGGATCTTTTGATGTCCATCTCAGCTATAGAACAGTAACACTTTTTGGGTTGCCTTTTTCTTTCCTTTTGGTCGCACCAAATGTTTTAGGCCTATCTCCTGTTTTTCCTGTCCCAGCCCTGTAATCAGCCACTTTTAGATGGCTCTGGCTCCTTTTATTAAGAGATGGTATTGAGAATCCAGAGTCTAGGAAGTAGTTGAGTAAAAAATTTCTTTTAAACTCTTTTATGCAGTGTTTCAGGAATCCCAAGTATCTAATTATAAAAGCTTGTAAGACCCAGAAGCAAGAGAACAGAAAGGGGTTTAGTTTACCACACACCTCCTGGAATAAATGTTTTTAATTTTAAAATTTACACTTTATTGTGTGTATATGTATATGTGTATACATGTCAAGGTGTATATGAGAAAGTCAGAAGACAACTTGAGGAAATTGTTTCTTCCTTCATGTGGGTACCGGGATTGGAACTCAGATTGTCAGGCTTGGTGGCAAACACCTTTTATTTCCTGAGGTATTTGGCCTGTCTGGTATGTTTTAATGGGAAAACATAATTATAGCTGAAGAATCTAAGTACTAGTAGTATAATTAATCTCACAAAAGTTCCCAAATAGCTATTGTTTCTTTTGTTTTGAGACAGTGTCTCACTTTGTAGTCTAGACTGGCCTAGCACTTGAGACAGTCCTCTTACCTCAGCCTCCCCAGTGCTAGAATTATGGGTCTGAGCTGCTACCCTGCCTAGCTCTATTGATGTCTTTATAAGAGAACATTGCCTTTCTTAGGTGAATTTTTTAAGTTCCTAGTGGGACTATCATTGCCTGTTTTTCTCCTTTCGTAGTAGCTTATAAAAAGCCTAATGGAAAAGACAGGTTCTCTGGGTACTGCCTTAATTGACCTTTGATTGGTGTGATAAAACACCATGATCAAAAGAAACTTAGGGGGGGAAAGGGTTTATTTCATCTTACAGTTATAGTCCATCCTGAAGGGAGTCAGGACAGCTCAAGTCACAAATCTGGAGGCAGGAGCTGAAGCAGAGACCATAGAGGAGTACTGCTTACTTTGCTGGCTTGTGTTCCATAGCTTGCTTAGCTACCTTTCCTATGCAACCCAGGACCACCTGCGTGCCCACAAGGAGCTGGATCCTCTCACATCAATCATTAACCAGGAAAATGCACCATAGACTTACCTATAGGCCATGAGGTATTTTCTCAATTTAGGGTTCCTCTTGACAGATGACTTTAACTTGTGTCAAGCTACAAAAAAACAAACTCAAACAAAACCAAGACAGGTTTCAATAACAAAGAATAGTAACTCCCATACTGCCAGTTTATTTGTGGGTCAGGTACTGTGCTGGTCTAAAACTGACAACCCTCTACCTCTGATCGGGTTATGGGTGTGCCATTATGCCCATTGGTACACTATGCTTCTTGCTTTATGTGAATTTCAAACCCTACTTAGTAGGGTTATGGTTATTTCCTCTCCTGTCTTTCCCAGAATACTGCAGCCATGAGGCCCAGCGTTGAAAGTGACTAATTGTTGAGCACTAAATGTGATGAGCTGCTGACCAGGACTCTGCTTGGCAGGAACTCCTGTGAGGTGGTAGCTGCTAATGCAGTATTGCTGGGAACAGGAAGAGTACCCTGGAGACTCCTGGAAAACTTCGCACAAGTAATGTGTGTTTTTGTTTGAAACGTCAAGAAATGCAGGTGTCTTGAAGTAAATTATTAGATATCCTCCTCACCTTCCCCTGCCCAATCCTTCATCCCATCCCTCTGCCCAAGATGACTCCACTAAAAACAGAGTGTGTGTTCTTCCAGCCCTTTGGTTTTATACACATAGACTCAGATGCTCTGACAGTTTTTCAGGGGGACTTGCCAAGAATTCTCTCCTCAAGTACTACTATGGTCTTAGTTAACTTTTACTTTCCTCTTGGCTGGGCAGTTTCCTGTTTGGGCCTATATGGAGGAACTTAGCCATAGAAACAGACTTGTGTTCTTTTAAACTTGAACTCCACAGGTAGTAACTCAGTTTGTACACCCTTCCTTTTAGATCTCTTTATTTGTTCCTTGGGGATAATATATAGGAACAAGAATCATGTAATTTCATTGACTCCATAAATGTTATATTATTCAAACTGCTCTTTGTCTTTAAGGTGTGTGTGGGGTGTTTAAAAGTATGAAAATAATAGAGTTTATGGAAATTTCTGTTTTTAAAATTTTATTTTATGTGTATGGCTGTTTTGCCTGCATGTATTTCCATATGTGCCTGGTACCTGTGGAGGCCAGAAGAAGGCAACATATTCCCTGGACCCTGGAACTGGAGTCACAGATGGTTGTGAGCTGTCATTTGGGTATTGGGAATTGAACCCAGGTCCTCTGGAAGAGCAACTAGTGCTTTTTAACCACTGAACCATCTCTCCAGCCTTAGGAAATTCTTTTTAATTTGCTTATCAACTGTGTTTATGAAATTGACTTGAGTTGGCTACTTTTAAACATTTTTATTTTATGTGTATCAGTTTGTCTACATGTATGTATGTACACCATGTGCATAAGTTTGTTTCTTTTGGGGGGAGGAAGATTTTTTTTTTTTTTTTTTTTTTTTTTTTTTTTTTTGAGACAGGGTCTCACTATGTAGCCCTAGTCCTAGTTGGCTTGGAACTCACTATGCAAGCTGGCCTGGAATTTACAGAGCTGTACCTGGTTCTGTCTCCCAAGAGCTGGGATTAAAGACATGTGCCACCATGCCTGGCTTAGAACTCACTGTGTAGACCAGTCGATTTTTTTGATCTCAGAGAAAGCCACCTGTTTCCTCAATGCAGGGATTAAAGGTGTGCACTAACACACCCGGCTAAATTGGGTATTTGTGAAGGAGGACTTCTACCAATGGGCTGTGCATGACCCTTCCACATATATATCTTTTCTCCTTGTTCTCTTTCCCCGAGGGGATCATCCTAGCATTTTGCTTAGGAGAAGCACAATCCAAGTCCGTTCTCTGGGCCCTAACAGCATACAGACAGATAAACAGTATGTCATCACAGCACACTTACAAATTTAAGGGGGGGCACCAGGAAAAAACTTGAAATGACATTGTGTGTAAAATCAAGAGAATACTTCAGGAGATAGGCTTGACTCAGCAGAAAGCTGCGTTGTGATTGTATTTGCCTGTGTGGACTTTGACTTGATGGTGGAGCTCGGCACTTTTTGGTTTTGTTTTGTTGGGAGACAAGATTTCTCTGTGTAGTTCTGGCTGTCCTGGAACTCACTGTGTAGTCCAGGCTGGCCTTGAGCTTAGAGATCTGCTGCTTCTACCCCTTCCACCCCCTACCCCCCCATCCCCCCACTGCTGGGATTAAAGGCATGTGCCACTATATCCAGGTATATCTCACCACTCTTAGTGGGTTAACTTCTTGAAACTATTTTCAAACTGATTTGAAATAGTTTTATTTCCTTAAATTATTAGAATTTGAACCCTTTCAAACCTTTTAAAGCTTGACACTCTTATTCCTGTAGGCACTGGGCAGTGGTGGGGGACACAGGTGCTTGAATATTGTCACTAACTCTCTGCTTCCCATGACACTGAGTTTTGATTTCACTAGGAATTTCCACAAAGAAGAAGTTGATTTTAGCAAATATCATTTCCTTGTCTGAGTCTGAACTACTTGTGAATTAAAATCATATTGAGGTACCTCTTGTGATACTGTTGTGGAGTGGCACTGTTTACTTAGTTCTTGGAGCCATTGTCTACAGAGTACATGACAGCAAATTTGTCTTTGCTTGGCACTTTCTGACACTGCTGTGTGAGCCAACCCTAGATGTCTGTTATGAGCTATGAAACTCTGTCATAGTTAAAGAACCTATCTCACCTCCCTGGACTTATGTCCAGACACTTTTCTTAAAGACAAAGGCCGCTTTCTAGGTTGTTACCCTTCACACCATGGAAATAAGAGAACAGAGACTTGAGTATCTCATCAGTGAGAAAAGAATTCACTTACATTGGAGCTAACGCAGCTTGCCTTATGGGAGCAAACTACCCTTAGCCTTTGACTCTTTCTTAGTTGTATTAAAAGGCAAGCCAGGTGTAGTGGCACAAGCCTTTAATCCCAGATCTTGGGAAACAGGCAAGCAACTATCTGTGAGCTGGAGGTTACCCTGGTTTACATATTGAGTTTCAGGCTCACCAAAGCTGTATAGTGAAACCCTGTCAAAAAAACAAAAGAGCAAACTAGTTGGTGTCTGTGTTCAGTGCTCATAACACAGAAGATTACCTGATGAGCTGCAGAGAAGGAAAAGTGAGTAGTATGTTCAGAAGGTAGGTAAAAGTGGGACTGTCTGTGGTATTGGTGAGAAATCTATGGAGTGCTCTTAGACACTTCACCCATGGAGGCTCGGACCAGAGCTTATAAAAGCATGGAGGTGAATGGGGGAGTCATTAGTGGAATTGCTTCTCAGGGAACATCAGCCTTAGGCTTTCTTTCCTTAGCTCTTATGTCTTATTGCTTTGGGTTATCTCTTGGTAGAGCAAGATGTGGAATCCTGAAAGACGTTGAATTGTGAGTCTTTTGAGTGTACACAGTATTCATACATGTACACATGTGCTGTCTTACAAAGTCTTAGGTAGGGCTTGACTCAGTGTTAGCCTTCACTATTGTATGTGTACAGGGTAATTGTCCCCTAAACACTATTCCCATCATTTGAACTTGAGTGGAGTTGCTTTTTCTTTTTTTTTCCCCTGTCTCTTCTTTTTGAGGATACTGACCTCAATACTGATTGTAGCACTTGCACTGTTTTTAGCTCACCACTATTTCGTGATGTTGTATGTCTTTGTATTCTTGAAAAGAACTCCCTATAAGTCAGCATTTGTAAGAAAGGAGGGCAACCTCACATGACTTCTCCAGGCTCTTTGTTGGTATCTTCCCTCTAGTAAATTGTAGACAGGAGTCTTGGAGCTTGGGCAATACTCTGACCAAAATATAAAATCTCTTCCTATTTTTATATTTTTCTCTCATAAGTGCAACTAGAACAAAAATTTCCCTGCTGACTCCCTTTCTCTTGCCCTCTTGATAGGGACCTTAGGATTCCATCATTTGAGGTAAGTATACAGGTGTTATTTCCCTCTGGATGTGGTCATGCAGGCAGATCCACCTTTCCCCACATCTATGAAAACTAGAGAACATTCTGTGGATTCTATCTAGACAGTGACCATGCTGAAGAAATTGTCAGACAAGGCTGGGCACATATTGCTTTAGGGAAGAATTTGAAAGAGAAGACATACAAGGCGAGCATCAAACTACAGTCTGGGTCCTGGAGTGAAAGCGCTGTTCTCTTCTTGCCTCTCTGCTGCTCCCTCAGTTCTCTGTCCCATTATGGATACTGAGGATAAAGTCTCTGTAGTGTTGGTGTTTACTTTAGTCCTTCCTTGTTTTTGATCAGTATGTAGGTTGGAATTTTAGTCTGAATGGTTGACAAGATTCTTGAAGAGATGAAATTGCTGTCTGCTCAAACAAATTTCAGGGTAGCTGGAAATTTTTCCGTTTCTCTCTAAATTTTTTTTTTTTTTTTTTTTTTGTAAAGGACCATGGTAAAGACAGTTGAGCTGGAGTACAAAAGAATAGAGTACATGCTTTCTTGGATACCTTTGAGCTTTCTTTATGAGTTGAGAGGCGAGTACAGGCTGGTCTTTGCCACTTTCGATCTGCCATATTTGGTACAGAAGGTAGCCACTCAGGTGTAGTCTGGGTTGGTGATAGACAGTTGTTATTTAAAAAAAAAAAAAGCTTTAACTTTTATTTTTGACAGGTCCATATTTATATGTTGTGTGTCTTGATCATAACCACCCAACAACTACTTCTCTTTGGAGAGAGGCAAGCTTTCTGAGAGTATGGACATATGAGCAGCCTCATACTAGTGGACCCTTACAGTGTTAGTCCTTGATAAAACAGGATTGGATCCTATGAAGGCCTCGGGAAGGCCACTGCAAGCTGCCTGGAAATGTGTTCTTCTCTCAGGACCCCAAATGATGACCAAGAATGGTCACTGAAGTAGAAGCAAGACCTTACTACTTATGTAGCATAGGACCCATCCTTACAAGCCGGCAGCATTTCCAATCATTTCTTTCCCTGCAGGCTGACGGATTCAATGATGCAGCTGGTGCTAGAGGTGTGTGGCACCTTACCTGAGCCAGGCCATGAGGCCATGTTGCCATGATGTGGGCCCCTCATGGCCTCAGCAGGAACAGAGCACTACAATATTGGCCTGCGCCGAGGAAACAGCTTCAAGCAGAGACGTCCCTCAGGCACAGTGTCTGCTTCACCACCTGAGAAACCCTCTGAAGTCAAAGTCTGGTCTCAGGCCCATCAGCAGGTGAAGCCAATCTGGAAACTGGAAAGGAAGCACGTAGGCACACTGTCAGCTGGGCTGGGCACCAGTCTCTTGGGAGTCCCACACCAACCAGCCTATTTCTTTTGCCCTGGCACTTTATGTAGCTCTGGGACCACAGCTGTCATTGCAGGCCACAGCAATCCCTGTTACCTGCAATCTCTCCCTGACTTGTTCAGCAATACTCTGCTGTACCGCCGCACCAACGTGAGGCAAAAACCATACCAGCAACTGGAATCTTTCTGCTTACGTTCCAGCCCATCAGAGAAAAGATCTTTTTTCTCTCAGAAGGGTCTCCCTGTCAGTGTCACTGCCAATAAAACCACATCTTCTACAGTCTTCCCCATGGCCCAGCCCATGGCATCATCACCCACAGATCCATACCTCTCACTGGCAGCAGCTGGGGAAAATCCTTCAAGGAAGAGCCTGTCCTCTGCCATCTCAGGGAAGATTGCATCTCCACTGTCTTCCTACAAGCCCATGCTGAACAACAACTCCTTCATGAGGCCAAATAGCACTAAAGTGCCCTTATCACAAGCCACAGATGGCCTGAAGCCAGTATCCTCACCCAAGATCCAGCCCGTCTCCTGGCATCATTCAGGGGGTACTGGAGACTGTGTACCCCACTCTGGAGACCATAAGGTCCCCCAAAGCATTGGCGCTGTCTTAGATGATGCCACTGCCCCCGACATCCCATCTACCCCTAGCACCCTCAACATATCCACAGCCAGTGTTACCTCTTCCCAGTGCAGTCAGAGTAACTTTAGGATGGAGGCACATCCCTGTGGCCTGGATGAAAACCTGGATTCCCAGAGTGCTACTAAAGAGGTACACTTCACTGAGGCCGTGAGGAAGTTGACTGCAAAAGGCTTTGAGAAGATGCCACGGCAAGGCTACCAGTTTGAACAGTCTTGTTTTGTGAACCCCAGCTTCCAGTGGGGTCTTCTCAACAGAAGCAGGCGGTGGAAACCTCTGATGGGCCAGCGGTTTCCTCAGGAGGATATTGGCTTAGACAGTGAGACCCTTCCTGGTGCCTCAGACACCTTGGGGTTGGACAGTACAGTCTTTTGTACCAAAAGGATCAGCATTCACCTCCTTGCCTCACATGTCCATGGGCTCAACCCCAGCCCTACTTGTGGTTCTGTAGTTGACACCCAATTACTTGGAGAAGACAGAGCTCCTGTTCCCCCTTCTTCCCTCCAGCCTCTTGGTGTAGCTGAAGTGGCCACTCGCCTTTCTTCTGTCCATCTTGACCAGCCTGGGAAGGAGCCTGAGGAAGCCAAGGAGTTGAGCTCATGTGCTAGGGGTAGTTGGTAAGTTGCACCTTGTCTTTGGTTCATTTAGAACAGTATAGAACAGTACAGTAGTTACAGCATAATCTGGGGGCATTGCCACCCACAATCTCTCTATAGTTGGCTTTTTTTTTTTTTTTTTTTTTTTTTAAAAGCTGTCCTATACGTTATAGTTTTCCCTTTAATGGAGAGATTCATTTCAAGGTGGGGAAGGAAAACTAGCTCACAGACTAAACTGTTGTCTTTGACTGTTTTCTCGCAACAACAGTAGAGTTGGCAACTTGTGACTGAATGACCTACAAAACTGAAGAGATTTACTGATAGTTCCTTTGGAGAGTTTGCCCATCCCTGTTTTTTAGGTTATTATAGGGAAGAAGTAAGAATTTCAGACACCACATCTTAGGGTCTCTGCATTCCTGGTATGACAGCAATTCAGAGTTGAAGATGTAGACATAGTTTGTTCTTTCATTTGTTTCTTGTTACTGTTCCAGAACCATGATTCGCCAAGGCTTTCTGAGTTCCCAGTGAGCATCCCAAGGACATATAAGTTACCAGATACTCATTGATGACTTTTGTATACAGAATTTTAAACTTACATACTATTAAGAGACTTTAAAGAAAATGATATACAGATGAGGGGTGTAAAGCTGAGGAACTATGATTGGACCTAAATTTGAAGGACCTGAGAAATAGTTTATGAGGTCCTGTAGGGAGATAACGGATTAGTGATGAGAAGACAATGAAGGAATGAGACTCCAGTGTGACATTTTTTTATGGAGTTGTCTTTGGTGGAGGCATGATTCTTTTCTTTCAGTTCAGCTACTGAACTCCGGCCAAACCAGGTGGAGCCTGAAGATACAGAAGATGAACTAGGAGATGGTTTGGAAGATAGCTGCAGCCATGATGAAAATGAAGAAGAGGACGGTAAGTAAGGAATCCTTTTGCCTCGATTATGGGGTTTGGTCATCATCCACTAGGAAAGAGGGATGACAGTGTGTGCCAGGCTTGCCTGACATTATCCTGCATCTGTCATTTGCTTTGGGGGCCTAACTTGGGAGTTTATGAGGAACTTTGGTCTCTAGCCTCTGTCTCACTGGTCTTGCCTCCTCTTGTCTGTTAAGTTCAAAGAATACAGTGCAGAGCCGGGGTGGTGCTCATTGCTCCCTCAAGAAGAGCTGACAGAGCCCAGGGTGTTAGAGAAATAGTTGCCTGGGCTTGATGAGATTGCACACATAGCAGTGTCTTCTAGTGAGGATTTCTCTGTTCTTCCTCTACAGGAGACTCAGAGTGCTCTTCCCTAAGTATTGTCTCCCCCAGTGAGTCGGTGGCAATAATATCTCGGTGAGTGCTATGCAGATGCTCATTCCTTGAACTTGAAGTTTGTAATGACCTTACCCTAACTAGCCTCGAGAACCCTAATTGATTCTCATCAAGATTCTGGTTGGTTTGTTTTGTGTACAGCTATAGTTTAAGAAGTGCTTGTTTTGATTTTTTTTTTTTTTTTTTTTTTTTTGAGATGGTCTGGTCTCTACATAGCCCTGGCTACCCTGGAACTTACTATCTAGATCAGGCTGTCCTTGAACTTACAGAGATCGCTCCCTGAGTACTGTGATTAATGGTGTGTACCATTATGTCCTGCCACTTAAGTCCTTTGGTAGAACAAATACTTTGGAATGCTATGTCAAAAGATAGTGAAAGCCTGTTTTCTGTAGAAGGCTTTTAGAACTTATTTAAGGGTCTTATTTTAAGCACATTTGGAAAAAACAGTGGCTCGAAATGTAAAGGTGTTTGCTTCCAAGCCTAACAACTGGAGTTCGATCCCTGGAACCCACATGCTGTGAGAAGAAAACCAATGTCCTCCCCCACAAGTTGTCTTCTTTCATCTACGTGTACACTGTAGCATGTGTGCCCCTCCCAACACATACACACAAATAAAAGTACCAAAAATTAAAAATAAGCAAAAAGACACTTGTGTTAGTTATGGTTTTTATTGCTATGATAAAACACCAAAAGCAACTTGGGGAAGAAAGGGTTTGTGTCATGTCAGCTACAGTTCCACATCATGGTCCAGCGTGAAGGGAAGTCAGAGCAGGAACTGAAACGGAAGCCATGGAGGAGCATCTTCCCTGGCGTGTTCCTCCAGGCTTTCTCAGCCTGCTTTCTTATACACTCCAGGCCTACCTGCCCAGGGACGGCACCACTCATGGTGAGTTAGCTGGATCCTTTCCCATCAATCATTAAACCAGAATCCCACAGACTTGCCTACAGGCCAGTCTTATAGAGGCCTATTCCCAGTTAGGATTCCTTCTTCCCTCATGTGGCTACATTTGTGTCAGTTTGACAGAAATAAACCACAACATTTTAAGAAAGATTTATTTTTAATGGGATATGTGTTAAGTTAGTGCTGATGCCTGTAGAGTCCCAGTGAAGGAGTTGTGTTCACTGGAGCTCTAGTTATAAGCAGTTACAAGTTGTCTGATAAGGATGCTAGGAACTGAAATCAGATCTATTGCAAAGCTGAAACCATTTCTCTAGTCCCAAATAAGACACTTTTGGTGCTAGGTGCTAGGTGCCATGGCATTGATCTCAGTACTCAAGAACCTGATACTGAATATGTACTGTGAATTTGAGGCCAGCTTATACAAGATACTAGCTTAAAAAGGAAAGGAGAAACCACAACCTCCAGCATAATCTTTTTTGTTTCTCTTCCAACTTTGCCTCAGAATTAGGCTGTATTCATTAACTAACTAAACTCTTTTATTATTTTTTAAAATCTCCTAAGTTATTGAATATTGAAGGTTTTCCTGGTCTAAAAATACAAAGGAATATAAAATAAGAGTGGCTCAGCTAGTAAAGGCACTTGCCTGCTGAACCTGATGACCTGAGTTTGAGTCCCAGAATTCACATGGTGGAAAAGAGAAACAGCTCCCTCAAGTGTCCTGATTTGAATGAGACTGGCAGTCATGTACACACACACACATACACACACACACACACACACACACACACACACACACACACACACACATATATAAAACTAGAAAAGTAAAATAAACCTAAAGAATGAAAAATTGGCAATTTGTTTTTAGTGTGAAAATATCTGCTCTCATTTTTTAATTAAAATCTTGCTGTGTTTATCAGGGCTTGCCCAGCATACTGTGATAATGGCTACTTTCTTTGTGTCCAATCTGCTTTACCTATGGCTGAAAAGGCCCTCTGCATCTGGGTTAGCCTGAACAAAGCTACCCATGTCTCTGTAAATGTGATGGTGTAGCAGCAGCTTTATTGACTCTAAGCATTGAACCAGCAAGGTGGAGGCAGAGGTATCTGGAAAATGGAAGACATAAAATCAGGTCTTTCTATGAAGGGAACAGAATATGAGGCATATGTGTCCTCAGTCTGTTGCATAATTTGTCTTTTGTTTGTTTTGTGTTTCAAGGCAGGGTTTCTCTGTATTGTTTTGGAAGCTATCCTGAAACTAGCTCTGTAGACCAGTTAGCCTCAAACTCACAGAGATTCGCCTGCCTCTGCCTCCCTAGTGCTGGGACTAAAAGTGTGTGACACCAACACCCGGCCATAATTTGTCTTTTTGGTTGCAGATACTGGATGTCAGTTAAGTACCTCTGCCATAACAGAATCTCAGCAGTTTGATTTTTTTAAAATTAATTTTTATTTAAATAAAAAAAATCTTATTTTACATACCAATCCCAGTTACCTCTCCCTCCTGGTCTCCCATTTCCCCCCCCCCATCCACTCCTCAGGTAGGGTGAGGCTCCCATGGGGGATTATCAAAGTCTGTCACATCATTTGGGGCAGGACCTAGGCCCTCCCCCATGTATCTAGGCTGAGAGAGTATCTCTCCATAGGGAATGGGCTCCCAAAGCCCATTTGTGCACTAGGGATAAATACTGGTTCCACTGCCAGAGGCCCTGTAGAATACCCAAGACCCCCAAAACTGACACCCATATTGAGGGGACCTGGTTCAGGCCTATGTTGGTTCCCCAGCTGTCAGTCTGGGTCTGTGGGCTCCCACTTGCACAAAATGGCAGCCCACAGAATGGGAAAAGATCTTCACCAATCCCACATCTGACAGAGAGCTGATCTCCAAAATGTACTAAGAACTCAAGAAGCTAGTCACCAAAACACCAATTAATCCAAATAAAAAATGGGGTACAGGTCTAAATAAAGGAATCTCAAATGACATCCTAGAAGCCCATCTCAAACTAAATGTCCCTTCCATTTCCTGTGTGTATCTGTCCTCCTGATCCACACTCTGTGTGTGTGTGTTTGTGTGTGTGTGTGTGTGTGTGTGTGTGTGTGTGTGCGTGCGTTTCCCTTAATAATCCTTTGCTCCACCTCTTGACCTATGGTTGACTTTATTTTAATCCTGTTTACAATATTCAAGCAGAAAGCTCTTGGATTAAAGGTGTGTGCTAGGATTGAACCACACTACAACTGGAAACAGGTTTTTCTGGTAAATAACACAATCTCGGGGTTCACAGTATGATCACATATCTTTATTTCTTGGAGACATGAGCCCAGAAATGCATTTGCTAGTTGTGGGGTAGATGCTTTCTGTGCCACCTTATCTCCTGCCTTGTCTTTGTTGTATATCATTGCTCGTTCTCTTCAGTTTTCCTTGTTTGGCCAGGCATGGTGGTGCATGTTTATTGTCAGCACTTGAAAGGCTGAGGTGGGAAGATTGGGAATTTGAAACCAGCCTTGCCTTTGTGTAGAAACTCCTGTCTTAAAATCAAATTTTTAAAACTTTATGGAACACTGAATTGTTTTACATAAAGAGCCTGTTTCTGTTGTGCTGAAAATAACAAGAGTAACTTTAAAAAGTATTGTCACAGTTCTAGGAATCAGGCTCAGGGCCTTCTGGTAGGCAAGGGCTCTGCCACTAAGATATTTTGTTTTGTTTTTTCTTTTCTTTACAATGTGAAAATTAATCTTACAGTAATATTTGTGGCTCATATCAGCTCAGTCTAAAGAGGAAAGCCTTTCTTCACTTTTCAGTGTTATTTAAAGAAATTGTTTGGGCCAGTGCCTTGTACTTGAGTGATGGCTGATCTGGACCTGCCTTGCCACCAGAGTAGAAAAGGACATGAGCCAGCTATGTTCTCACATGAACCAAAGCATAGAACATTGTAGACATTTCACTGTTGCTTTTCTTTCTTTTCCTCTTTCTTCACCAAACATATTTCTGGGCTGGATAGTGGTGGCACATGCCTTTAATCCCAGCTCTTGGGAAACAGAGGCAGATGGATCTCTGTGAGTTTGAGACCAGCCTGGTCTCTGGAGTGAGTTCCAGGACAGCCAAAGCTACACAGAAACCCTGTCCCAAATAAACCAAAAACACAAAGCAAAAACATTTCTGTGTCTTCCTTTTAGTTATCAGTGTAATCCTTTTCCCCTCCCCAACTTGTTGTAGTGTTGAAGTCTTCTCCTAGTGTCCACTCAGACTCTTGCTTTCAGAACTTTCTGGGTCTTCCCTGACTTGTGGCTTATCATAGGATGTACTAGAGATGTGCTACCAAGAATGTTAGCCTCTTCGACTCGTGGTGGTGGCATTTAGTAGTATATATAACTATATAGGTAGGTTAGTTCTAGTACTGTATGAGTTCATATTTGCAGGATGACTATCAGACACTTGTCTCTTCAGAGTCATATGCAAATCCTGTTATCACCTCAAGGCTGTCACTTTCCCATTCTCTGTTTTTCATCACAGGAACTGTGTGGATTTAATGTCCAAATCCCTTCCCAATCATGAGAAAGTTGTACGACCAGCCCTCATCTACAGTCTTTTCCCCAATGTATCCCCTACCATCTATTTTGGAACTCGGGATGAAAGAGGTAAATGTAACCAAGGGACAAAGTCCAGGAGGCTGCCAGCTAACCTGGGTGGAGGGGACAAGGTGGGAGAGTTCCTCCAGAATTGGCTGTTGAAGTAGTTACTGCACGTGCTCAGTTCCCACCTGCATGTGGTAGGTTCAATAGTAGACTTCTTTCTGTCCTTTGTTGACCTTTTTCAGTCTATATAATCTCTAGCTTAGCACATGGCCTCTAATCGGTTTCTTTCTCCTTCCAGCCTTTCTTTGCTCCTCACTGCACAGCCCCCTCCCTCCATAAAGTGCACTTCTTTAAAACCTGATCTGTCTGCCCAGGAAAGGATGGGCACCACTGCCATCTTTTTATCTCCTCACTGTGGCCCTCTGCCCTTCACTTCCCCCAGTGGAGAAACTTCCATGGGAACAGAGGAAGCTGCTCCGGTGGAAGATGAGCACAGTGACCCCCAACATTGTCAAGCAGACCATTGGACGGTCGCACTTCAAAATCAGCAAGAGTAAGTTACTTTGCCCACTCCCCTCCTTGCCCTGCCTGATAGGTTTTGGACAAGAAGAGAGCCTTAGAGATGCCCTGTTGTATGTGATGATCCCTGTCTTGAAGCTTCCAACCTCATACAAGGATGCAGCTCTGAAATTCCTCTGGGCTGAGCCAGTTGCTCTGAATTGGAGGCAGAAGACCAATGTTTTGGTGCTGGTCCTGAGGCCTCATGTAGGGCAGCTCCATGGTAACTCTTAAATCACCTGAGTCCCGTTGCAAGGCCTTGTTCTGTCCCAGAGTCTGAGCTGAGCTATTAAGTGAGACTGACTTCCTGAATTGCCTTCTGCAGGGAACGATGACTGGCTGGGCTGCTGGGGTCACCACATGAAGTCTCCTGGTTTTCGATCTATTAGAGAGCATCAGAAGGTGAGTCCTTTCCCATGGGCGAGGCCAGTGAGAGGGAGTGGTAGAAAAGCGGTCATGGGAGGACAGTTACAGAGGAGTGTTCTAGAGAAAGCACAGTGGGGGGGTCTCAGCCTAGCGTCTCCCACCCAGTCCTGTTGCCACTCAGGTGCTTTTCATTCCATGTCTTGAGAGGCCTTGTCTGTTTTCAGTTGGGCGAGCTTCCACTCCACAAGCTATGTTTATATAAAGAGGGTTCTGTGGTTCTGTTGGAACACTGTGTCCTCTTGTTCCTAGACTCCCTAATGATCTGGTGCTTTCCTTTCCTTGTCTCATATGCTGTCATAGGAGAATAGTTAATAGCTTTTTCCTTTGTATTCAAAGTGACCATCATGACTGTCCTAGTTTGTTTCTCTGTTGCTGTGGTAAAGCACTGGCCAAAAGCCGTATGGAGAGGAAGTGTTTTACTTTGGCTTACAGCTTACAGTCCATCACTAAGGGAAGCCTTGGTAGGAACAGAGTAGATTGTGGAGAGACACTGCTTACAGGCTCATTCTCCATGGTTTGCTCAGCTTGCTTTCTCATACAACCAAGAATCACCTACCTAGGGGTAGTCCTGCCCAAGGTGGGTCTGGGCCTTCTCACATCGATAGTTAATCAAGAAAATGCCCCCACAGACATACCCACAGGCTAGTCTAGTGGAGGCAGTGCCTCGATTGGTTCACACTTTGCAGGTGACTATAGTTTGTATCTAGATGGTAGCAGAAAGATAGAAAGAAACATGAACATTGCAAGGGATGTTGGAATGATGAGTGGGGCTTACCTTGTTCCTCTTGGCCTCACCTCTGCCCTTTCCCTCTCCTTGCCTCTTGTCCCTTCTATAGCTAAACCACTTTCCAGGCTCCTTCCAGATTGGGAGGAAGGACCGGCTGTGGCGGAACCTGTCTCGAATGCAGAGCCGTTTTGGCAAGAAAGAGTTCAGTTTCTTCCCCCAGTCTTTTATCCTGCCCCAGGATGCCAAGCTCCTACGAAAAGCCTGGGAGAGCAGCAGTCGTCAGAAGTGGATTGTGAAGCCAGTGAGTGGGCCAAGGGAGAAGTAGATGATGGGATGAGAGTGGAAAGACAGTGCAGATCTCATCTCCTTCCCCTTTGACTTCTAGCCAGCATCTGCTCGAGGCATTGGCATTCAGGTCATTCACAAGTGGAGTCAGCTTCCCAAGCGCAGGCCCCTCCTGGTACAGAGGTGAGCCTATCTAGCTCCATTCCTCTCCATCTTCCTGCCTTCCTGGTCTCTGAATTAACCTTCTTATAGTGTTCTACCTTGTGACTTCCCAGCCAAAGAACTTCCTTAGTTTTCACCTAGGGTTTTCACCATAGCTTGTGTACTCATCTGTCTGGCTGGGTATAAAGTTAGCCTTTCCTCTCTGTAGGTATCTACACAAACCCTACCTCATTAGTGGCAGCAAATTTGATCTTCGGATCTACGTTTATGTTACTTCTTATGATCCTCTTCGGATTTACCTCTTTTCGGATGGACTCGTCCGCTTTGCCAGTTGCAAGTATGTTCTGGTGGTGAGGCATCCCCTGACACTGGGAGAATCCCTTTCCTCAGGATGAGGACACTGAGCAGAAAAGGCACAGATATCTTGGTGTTTTCGTCAGAAAGGAAGGTGGGAGGGTGGGAAATGAGGAAAGTTTCTGTGGGACCGAGGTTGCCAAGTAGATTAGCTGTGCTTTTCTAGAACTTGGGCCTTTCAGGAACAGAACAGATCTGTGCCCTTTTCCTTTATCTCCTTCCTGGGGAAATATTTGACCTATTTTCCATCTGCCATTCTTCTCACTTCCAGGTATTCCCCTTCCATGAAGAGTCTTAGCAACAAGTTCATGCACCTAACCAACTATAGTGTCAATAAAAAGAACGCGGAGTACCAGGCCAATGCTGATGAGACAGCCTGCCAGGGCCACAAATGGTACTGAGGGCACTGTGTCCCTATCAAACTCTGTTTTGAACCCAGAAAGGACTTTGTGTTTGGGAGGTTTGGGGCAGTGGTTGAGGAGTATTAGTGTACTTGTCACTTTTAGAATTGGTCTATTTGCATCCAGATGCATCTCTTTCTTATTTCAAAATATCACTGGGGAAATTAAAAGATATCTTTAGTCTCTTACTTTTTATTTTTATTTTTTCCTCTTGTTACTTACTTCTAGGACATTACCTTAAATGCGTCCTTCTCTACCCTCCCCCCCTTTTCAGGGCACTGAAGGCTTTGTGGAATTATCTGAGCCAGAAGGGTATTAATAGTGATGCTATCTGGGAGAAGATAAAGGATGTTGTTGTCAAAACCATCATCTCGTGAGTTTCAGTGCTACTTTGGCTGAACCATCATATTTTCTTCTTGCCTCTCTGCTGTATTCATTTTGTGTTTCAGTTTTGAGGACAGGGGTTAGGAAGTAGAGTTAAATTCTATTTTCTTACTCTTCTGTTGATGTGATAAAACACCATGACCAGGACAACTTATAAAAGAAAGCATTTAATTTGGGGTTTAAGATTCCAGGTAGTTAGCGCAAAGCAGAGAGAGCTAACTGGGAGTGGCTTGAACTTTTGAAACCTCAAAACCCACCACTTAGTGATACACCTTCTCCAACAAGGCCACACCTCTTAATCTTTCCCTAACAATTATACCAACTGGGAACCAACTATTCAAATATATGAGCCTGTGGAAGCTGTTCTTATTTACCAAACTTAGTCAAGGTGATGACCGAGATCAGGCACATCCCTTAAGAGCCATTGTTTTGGGGTGGTGTTCATGGTTGAGATGGAACTCCTAATTTCCCTGCTTTGTACATGGGTATTGCATGTTTGTATCCCTGTGTTGATTCTGAGGAGACAGTGTTGAAGAGAAAGTTGCTTCTGCCCTCCTAATTCAAGATATCCCACTGGCAGGTCAGAGCCTTATGTGACCAACCTACTGAAGTTGTATGTGCGGCGCCCCTACAGCTGTCATGAACTCTTTGGTTTTGACATCATGCTGGATGAGAACCTAAAGCCATGGGTCCTAGAAGTCAACATTTCCCCAAGGTAGGTGGCATTGTTAGTTACTCAAAATAGAATCCATCTTTCATCCTCAGAATCCTTGTCATTATCATCTTGTTGACATGGGAAGCTCTTTGCTTCACTAGGACATGTGTCTTCCTGTCATGGTCTGCATTTACTGACTCACTGATTCTTTGTTGTTATCTTCAGGAATTTTGAGAATAGAGAAGGGTTATCAAATCCTTGTTGATACCTACCATTGTCTAGGAAACCAAGGGCATGGGCAGATTCACCTAGCTTCATGAGGGTATTTGTTTTGATGTGGTTGCTTGGTTGTGACAGAGTTTCCTCTGTTGTTCTGGAACTCACTCTTTAGATCAGGCTGGCCTTGAGCTCCAGAGATTCACTTGGCCTCTGCCTCCTGAGTGCTGGAATTAAAGGCATGTACCACCACACCCAGCTGAGCATATTTGTTGAAGATGTTCACAAATGTGGGTATTGGCGTCTCTCTTTTTTTTTTTTTTTTTTGTAATGAAGCCAAGGAATAAGAAGCTCTGATTTGGATGTAGTACCCAAAATGGTTCTGGAACTCTGCTTTGACCCTGTTTTGCATTCTTCCCCTGCAGCCTCCACTCCAATTCTCCTCTGGACATCAGCATCAAGGGCCAGATGATTCGAGATCTGCTGAACCTGGCAGGCTTTGTTCTGCCCAACATGGAGGATATCCTTTCCAGTTCCAGCAGCCCCAGCAGCACCAGCGGCTCAAGCACCAGGTCTGATTCTCAGCTTCCCTAGGTTGGGATGGCAGCATGAGCAACCCATTGTGATTTGGGGAGGGTATGGCTTCAGGAGTCTCTCTCCTGCTTGGTCTCCTTTATGGCTCAGTCTGCCCCTGCTGTCTATCCATGCACCACTGCCACACCAGTATCCTGAGAGTAAGTCTGATTACTTCTGTTCAGAAGTCTCCGCAGGGCCCAGCGATCAAAGTTAGCCTCCTTACCTGGACATTGGTGGCCCCAGCCACTTTTCCTGGGTGTAAGTTTCTACTCTGCCTGTTTGTGGTACCCTGGCAGATCCGTAAGGACTAGGTAGTGATATTTCCTCTGCTTATGTGGTTTCTACATTCTATAGATGCCACTTGTCTAGTATTCCTATATCTATCCATCAAAGCCTAGTTCTGCACATCTTTATGAAACACCTCAGTGTGAAGGTTTTTTTTCATATCTCCAAAGCTTTTTAACTACTCTTGAGGAGAGGAAACTAATATTCAGTAATTACTAGGATAGTTAAGGAATGACTCAGTATATTCAAATAGCTGAAGCCTAACAAAGTTAGCGAAGACAAAGAGGCTAAACATATATTACTGTAAATCTGAATAGACCTTAAGAATTTATAATTCTTATTTGTCAAACGTAGCGATGCTGTTTAAAATTTCTTCAGAAGCCTGGTGTTGAACAGAATTAGCAACAAACGTGGTGAGACATAGTTTCTAAGTTACGTTTTGTTAACTTGAGTATACCTTTATAACCTTAGAAATTTCTGGGTGTTTTTGGTTTTTTGTTGTTTTGTTTTTGCAGACAGGGTTTCTCTATGTAGCTTTGGAGCCTGTCTTAGAACTAGGTCTTGTAGATCAGACTGGTCTCGAACTCACAAAGATATGCCTATCTCTGCCTCTCAAGTAATGGGACTAAAGGTATGTGCCTCCACCGCCCGGCTTAGAAATTTCTAATCATACAAAAATCCATACTAATCCAAAGTATTTTTGGAGACTTGCTGTTGCCTCCTTAGTCTAAAAGGAGATACAGTGATAAACCAACGGCTCAGTATGACTAAGATTTTATAGGTGTTGTTTATCTTAAGGTGGTGAAGTCATGTGCTTTGTATCTTTTAACCTTAGCAAAGATGGCTGCCAACCATGTGGTAACTATTTAAAATATCTCTTTATTTTTTTTTTTAGTTTATATTTTTAAACAAAAGTTGAATCCAAGTTACATGTGTAGTAAGTTGTAATAAATTAAGATTACACACAAAAGCTATAAGCCTTTTCTTATGTTTTAAGCCAAAATTGGATAAAGACTTTTATAATTTTTTTTTAAATCATATCCAATGAACTTAAAAATCTTGACTTTAGGGCTAGAGAGATGGCTCAGAGGTAAGAGCAATGACTATTCTTCCAGAGGTCCTGAGTTCAGTTCCCAGCAACCACATGGTGGCTCACAGCCATCTGTAATGAGATCTGGTGCCCTCTCCTGTCATGCAGGCATATGTGTGGTCACAACTCTATATACATAGTAAATAAATCTTTAAAAAAAAAATCTTGAGTTTACAGCATAGTCTTAGGGAAATAATAGAAATAAAAGATTTTTAAGTGGGAAGTAGAAAAACCTTAAAGATAAAAGACTTGGAGGTATACAGCAGAGCAAGTTAAGGTGTAAGCAGTTTTGATATTATTTCTTTGTGCAGTGGCAGAAGTTGTTACCATATGAGAGAATTTGAAAATCGAGTGTACAATCTTTGGCTATTGATCTGTATTGAGGCCAGGTTGTTTGTAGTCCAGGAAAGAGAGATGGGAGGTTGTAAAATGAAATTCCACAGGCGGAAAGTGTAGCAAGCTTTCTTTCTTGTCAGACTATCTTTGGACTGCCAGACTGCAAATAATGACCCAGAGACTTACTAGTTATGAAAGCTTAGCCTTTTGCTTAGACTTGTCTCAACTAGCTCTTATAACTTAAGATTAACCCATATTTTTTAACTTATGTTCTGCTGTGTGGCATTATTTCTCTTTCATCTTTCAATTCCTGTCTCATCTCTCTGGCTGGTGATTATGCGTTTCTTCCCAGAATTCTTGCTGCCTTGGAAGTCCTACCTAGCTGTTGGCCATTCAGCTCTTTCTTAAACCAATCAGAAGGCACCTTGGCAAAGACAAATATTCAGTGTAAATAAATATTCCACGACATTTCTCCCTTTTCTTCTAAATAAAAAGCTTCTGTTTTAACTCTAACACAGTAAAACTATGTATAATAAATATATAATAAGAACAATTATCAGGTATTGTCTACATAAAAAGGGAAGGTTTTAACTCTAGCATGGTAAAATTATAAATAAAATAAGGACAATTACCACAATATCTAGTTCATTTGTATTTGGCAAATTTGAGGCAAGCACTATATCATCTATCCTGTCTAAGTGAGTCCAAAGTTTTATACCTAAACCACTTTCTACCATAACTTGTATTACCATCGTAAAAAAATCTTTTTAGACCTTAAAACCTTTTCTTAGATAAACAGGCTTTTATGTTTCTCAACCTTGTGTACTTTATACCTCTTTTGTGAGTTTCTTTTCTGAATTTGGTAACAAGGAAAACTGTAATGATATCTATTTAGTCTTCAACTCCATCAGAGACCCAAGATGGATATACTATTACCTGAGTAAACAGGAAGTGCAGAGCAAGTAACTTCCAAAACTATAGAAATGACAGAAACAACTGGTTGCCTGGACAGTCACCCAAGGTTCCTTTGCAATGTTGGGGCATCCATCTTTGACCTGCAGGCTTAGAATATCTGATAGACTCTTGTGAAACAAGAAATTTTTTAAGGACTGTCCCTCTCATCTTGTCCTGGCAAAGTTCGGCAGTTGCCTTCTTTTGTATCCTGCTTGTCCAACTTGGACAGCATACTGTCAGCAGTTGAGGCAAGGGCAGTTTCTTGCCCGGCAGCCACTTTTGCCACAATAAACTATATATGGAGTTCCTTTGGTGTCCATCATCCTTTTTTGAAGTAAATTGGTACTGCTAGGAGCAGATGTGTCTCACTGTCATGAAAGTCTTAAAAGTCTTATATTGTTAAAACATCTTAAATGCCATATTCTGTAGATCTCTGAAGTGTTCAAAAGACCATCAGTCTATCTAAAATATATCTGTTTGACCTTGAAAATACACTAAACATGGCCACAAATTTGGTTGTTTGATGGCTATAAACCTGTATTTGTTAATTATTCTAAATAGTTTGTAATAGTAACTTTCAAGGACTAGAAATTTACATTGTTAAATGAGTTGCATAGGTTCAATACCATATTAATGTGAAATATTTGAGATTAATAAGTTGCTTTTTAGTTTAAAGTAGATTCAATAATCTACTTTTTATCCTAGCATTCCTATATTCCTGCCTATTTTCCAGAAAGAGATCCTTCATTCTAACCTCCCTTGCTTGATTTCCTCCCTTACTATGACTAGTAACAATTTACAACCAACCCCCCTAAATGATGACAAACATCCATAACCCACCAAACATCCAAAACCCACCCACCTCTTGGGAATGTGGGGGTCATGTTTTCTAGACTGCTTTCTATTGTCTGGGGGTACTGGCATCTTTAGGGGACCCTGAGAACATTGGGAATAATGGTCAAGTCCTGGGAGAGCTAGCTCTATTATTTCTTATTTATTCTCTCTGTGATGGGAAAGTGTAGTACTTATCTTGACTGGAAAATCTGAGGCTGGACCATTTCAGCTAGCAGCTTTGAAGTTGTTCTGGATGCATAATTTTGAAGAAACTACAACAGAGGCATTCTAAGAGGCTGGATCATCTGGGTACTTGTCTTTATTGTGTCTGGTCCTTTTTTTTTTTTTTTTTTTTTTTTGTGAAAACACAATTTTTTAAAGGTAATATATCTGCATTAAAACAAGGATGGAATGTGCAAAGTGCACAAATCAGCTAAAGGTGATTTGTGTGTGTGTGTGTGTTTGAAGAGGTAAAAAGCATTTGTCAACTTCATAAGTCCATAACCAAGCTATCATAAGGACTCTGTAGCCAATAAGATTCATTATGTCTCATCCAGTCTCAGAGCTGTTACCATAGTAGAGGGATCAGCATATATGTTGCCTATTCTGTAGTCTTTCTTGTTTTTTTTTTTTTTTTATCTTCATGTCTATAGCCAAGATTTTCAGGTCTTTCCCCAATCTGATTATTAATTTTGAAGAAGACCATAACTTTTTGTTTCCTGTGGAAACAAAGACATAACCTATTCCGCAACACAACTCATTTCCTGACTTCCATTTTGAAGCTAAGACATTCTTAAAATATATAGGTTCATTTAGTTTAGCTGTTTCCACAATCCACTGTCTCTCAGCAACTTATTTTTGTACATTAGCATTTAAAAGATTCAAAGTCAGGAAAGCACCATAGAGAATCCAGATACTTTGTGTATTTCCATCTTTACATGGCTTTTTAAACTTTTTTATGACTATACCCATTTTATTTTTTTTTTATTTATTTTTTTACTGCATTTATTTAAAGTTTTTCTTGGTCTGGACCACTTTACTATGTGCCTATAGTCTTCTCTGACCATGGGAGACAAACCTTAAATGGCTAGGCTACCTGTGGCCCTGGTGGCTGGTTCCACCCCCCTCAGTTCTGTGACCGACACAGTCTTGTGTCAGCATGTACCAGCAGTAGGCGTTTTTACCTAGTGGGCTGACTTTTCAAGTGCTCTGCTGCACAGCAGGGCCTTTTAAAAGAACCCTGCTTCTATATTCTGAGCTTATCCAAGAGACTGGTCACCAGGAAGCCAAATTTGACTCTGTGTTCTGAACTTTTTTTTTTTTTAAGCTTTCTCAGGTCTTATGTGGATGGATATACATGGCCCCATGTTGGGTGCAGCAAGCTTTCTTGTCAGACTATCTTTGGACCGCCAACCCACAAATAATGATGCACAAACTTATTATTAGTTATGAAAGCTTGATCTTTACTTTAGGCTTGTCTCAGCTATCTCTTATAACTTAAATTAACCCACATTTTAAAATCTGTTTTGCCATGAGGCGTTACCTCTTTTCTAACTTGCATTTCCTGTCTGCTCTTCCTGTCTGGCTGGCGACTACCTCTCTTCTTCCCAGATTCCTCTCTGTCCTTGAAAGTCCCATCTAACCTCTTCCTGCCTACCTATTGGCTAGTAACCTTTTTTCTTAAGGTGCCCTGGCAAAGACAAATCTTCACAGTGTAAACAAATGTTCTATAAACAGGAGAGTTACTGTAAGCTCCAAGAGAGAGCTTGTAGACAGGATGTGCTCGGGCCTGGGCCTGGAGACGCTGTGGAAGGAGTGCTGCCTGAGGAAGGAGAGGTCTAGGTGGACTTAAGGAAGATATCGAGCAGAGTAGGCAGCAAGTGGGAGCCAAGAGGTAGCCTAGTGGGACTGCAGGCGGAATTGCAGTTCCTAGAGGCAGATGAGAGAAAGCTAGCTGAACTGAGGTGTTTAAAATGTCATTGTGACAAAAATTTCCATCTGGTATGTCCCCAAGCAGAATGGGAAACTTGTCAATGAGAGTTGTTCCAAATCAGAGGAAAGGTGTCCCTTGTCCTTGTGAATGGAGCTTAAGGGGTGGTGACAGGAGCTTCCTGACACACTGGTGAGGGTTTTATAGTAATAGTAAACAAAGCAGGCTGCTCTGTGGTAATACTTACCCCCTAGAGAGACATTGGCCTGTGGGCATAGCAATCTCCAGGAGCCAAAGAGACCAAGAGAGGAGAGGTAGACTCTAGAATTTGGAACGAGGCCAAATATAGTGGGCGGCAAAAGCCAGCAGAAATAATTAATTTGTACATACCTTAGAATCAGATCAGGAGCTTGGCTTGAGGTAGCCAAGTCCATTGGAAGGTAGCCCATTTATGCCGCTCCTAGGATTTTGGCTCCAAAAGAATGAAAAGTGGGTTCAGGAAAGAAAAACCACTCTGGATGAAAGGGGATGACTTTAGTGAGAATGGGAGAAAAGGAGTTTTTGAGCTGGAATGGGGCTTTTGAACAGACACTCAGAGAACCTAGAGGCTAGCATTTACCTTGACAAGTCAGTAGGCACCACAGTCTTATATTAGTAGAAGAGCCACAGGTTCCTTTTGCCAGAGAAAAGGAAAATGACTACTTTTTTTTTTTTTTTTTTTTTTAATCAAGTTGGAACTTTCTCAAGCTCCTTTGGGAAAAAATTTCTTGGGGTACCAGATACATATAGATTCCAGGAGGTGAACTCAGGTCTTCAGGCTTGGTGGCAAACACCCTTACCATCCCACTATCCTGCTAGCCATTTTTATGTCTCAACAGTGACATTAACCATGTAGTGGCCCATATTTATAATCCCATAAGTAAGAAGGCAGGAGGGTTGACATGTATTTAATGCTAGCTTTGAACTACATAATGAGTTCCTAGCCATCTTGAGTTTCAGACTTAGACTCTGTCTCAAAAAGTTAAAAAAAACAAAATAGAACAAAAAAAAAAAAAAAAAAAGAAAACCCAAATTAATGATAAAGTGATCATGATGACATGGATAATGAAACTGAAGTACCAGAAATTAAGTGTCTAGCCCAGGGTTCCCCAGCCATGTGTGTTAACTGAAGCATCCAATAATCAGGCTTACTCCAGGCTTCTTTTTGTCAAATTGGTGTGCCTGCCTCTTTCAGTTATCTCGTGGTACTTGGTTTTAGATGACAAGCTATTTGAATGGAGTATACTTTAGAGTGATGTGTTGAAGGGACAAGCATCTCCATGTGTCTTCATCTGTGCTTGGGAAGGAGTCTTGCACTGGATTTTCTCTCCATATTTTCTCAGCACAAGAAGCTGCTGACCTGCCTGTTGCTTTTTGTTCATCTCTGTCTTAGCCTGCCAAGCTCTCCTAGGGACAAATGTCAAATGACTCCAGAGCATTATACTGCACAGAAGATGAAGAAAGCCTATTACCTGACACAGAAAATTCCTGACCAGGTAGGAGATTTATTTTCCCTGCAGCAACAGCCCTCGGTCAAACGTCAGAGGCGCCAGGAAGATGAGCTTTTCCTGTCTAGATCAGAGTTTCCTACCAAAAAAGTAGGATCTTGTGATATAATATGCAGAGGTTTGTTGGCACCTGCATCTTTCTGGGAAAGTAGATGGTTGTCACCATCTACTTGTGCTATCTTAGCTCACTCTTGTGAGAACCATCACATTTAACCCTATGGACTTCCTTTCCTGAGAGCCATTGGAAGACCCAGGAGGTTTGAGCTTCTCAAAATAAATGTGGGGCCTGGATGTGAAAAAGGTAAGCATAGGCTGCCAAATCTGAGTTGCTGGGCACCAGCCTTGACTCAATAGCTCACTCTTCCACCTAAGCCCACATGGTTCCTTGGTTCTAGCCAGCAGTGTCTTTCCCCTGGAGATCAGTCCATTGGATTCAGGAAGAGGCTCACCTCAGATCGGGTGACATTGGGAGTCCCACAGGAGTCCTGGAGACCTAGTGCCCCAGAGCTCTGCTCCCTACCCCAGCTGCTTGTCTCAGTGTCTGGCTTACACTGTCACACACATTGCCTTTCTTCCTATTCCTTGGGCCACAGGACTTCTATGCCTCTGTGCTGGATGTCTTGACACCAGATGATGTTCGGGTTCTGGTCGAGATGGAAGATGAGTTTTCTCGTCGTGGTCAATTTGAAAGAATTTTTCCTTCTCGAATCTCTTCTCGTTATCTTCGTTTTTTTGAGCAGCCACGATATTTCAACATTCTCACCACCCAGTGGGAACAGAAGTACCATGGAAACAAGCTCAAAGGTGATATGCCTTTTTGGCTTACAGGAGACCATATTTAGGAGATTAAATCCCATTAGACCAAGAGATAGGTTTCTTTGGAAAGGAGGTAAGCAATTGCTCCTTCCCTATTAAGTCCCAACTTTAAGTTCATCTTGTCCTAGGAGTAGATCTGCTCCGGAATTGGTGCTACAAAGGCTTCCACACGGGGATAGTCTCTGACTCAGCTCCACTGGTAAGTGTGCCAGTGTAAGGCAAAGCTTCTTGTCACACTAAGTACATTATGGTTGGCTTATGGGCATAGTGGGCACCCACCTCTCCCTTCTCTCAGTCCCCACCTCTTTGTCCTCCTTTCAAGGATGTAGTTATTTACAGAACTGGATGCCTGCCTTTGGAGGGTCAAAAATTGATCTGTAGCCTTAACTTTCTGTCTCTTTTGGGAGAGAACCAAGAGTTATTTGCCTGAGTCCATGATGTAGCATAGGGCAGGTGAAGGCCCTGTGTTCCCAGAGTGGCAGAGCCGAGCAAGAACCCTAGGACCCTTTTACCTCACTGCTTTCTTTGTTCATAGTGGTCTCTGCCAACATCGCTCATGACTGCCTCGAAGGGTGATGGGACACCCAGTGCCATCAACAAATCAGAACGCATCAAGTCAAGGTGAGTGCTACTTCAGTGAGAGAGGGCTATTGAGTTGGGGAGTTGGAGTTTCTTTTCTCTTCCCAGACCATGACAGTACAAGGAATTCTCCACTTAGGGGTTGGTAGGAGTGTCAGAATATACAGCCTCAGTATCTTCTTCCTGGTGACTTGTGGGATGCTCAGCAAAGACCCATTTGCAGACACAGACACTTTTTAGCTGTCCCTTCTGTAGGAAATCCTGAGGCCTTTCCTCCAGTTGGTCCTTGCACTTGAGTTCTTACTGCCACAGTAATAATGTATTTTATGGCTATTAGTATGTTCATATAGTAGTCTACAGAGCCATAATGTTGTGGGTGCTTGCCTTAGACTCTAGGGGCATAAATTACTTGTTATTCTTAGCTTCAGCTGTGTTTTTCCTTTCAGAAAGCAAAGCTGTTCCGAGGGAAACATGCTGTCCTCTGAAGTTGGGACAGTATCCAAGCCCAAGAAGAGTCAAATTAGCCTTTCCCCCATATCCAGGAAGACTTCATCCTCAAAGAACAATGAGGACATCAGCAAAGAGTCCAACCACTCTCCCCAGGTGTTACCTCTACTCAAGTACTCGGGGCAGAGTTCCAGACTTTCTACTTCCTCCGCTTCCCAGTCAGCCAGTGACTCTCTCCTGACGGCTGTGAGCCTATGACTGGTCTCCTGCGCAGGAGCACTCAGCTACCTCAAGGGAACCGACCTGCTGATCAGCCTGAGCCTCTAACCCCCTCCACTTTGCCCCTCATCAGAGTATTTTTTTGAAGTGGTTCTATTGTAGATACGGGCTTCTGGAGGGCTGAAGGGGTGATGGGGAGAAGGTGAGGAAGGTTCCACCCTCTGTCACCTCACTGCCTGGCTGGTGCCTCATGTCTTAGTAGAGCAGCCAGTGACGGCCAAGCAGCCTTATAAAGCAGGGTTTGGTTTCTACTCTGAGAGCCATGTGTGATTTATTTGAGGCCCTGGTGCAAGGCTTGAGTTGTTGCTCAAGAGGAGAAAACATGCTAAACACACAGAAGTCTCTTGTTCTGTAATTGAGAGGAATTCCTTGAAGGTCCTGATTTCCTTAAGTCTTTTGTCCCCTGTACATCCTTGTCTTAAAGAGCCATTTTTAGAAAGCTCCAGTGTTCTTCAAAGACAAGCAGGGGAAGCCATGACAGGCTGCACCCATTTCCTGGCATCTTGGTCTTGGGGTGACCTCCATAACATATCTGCAGTTAAGGTTCCACCCAGTCAGTAGCCCTCCATTTTCTGTGACTCTTCCAGGACTCCGGTAAGGGATCCCAGATATTTTGGTCACGGTTATGTAGAGGAGGGTGGAATGAGCTGTTTCTCCTCAATACAGGAAGTCTGTTTTGCTTTGAGCAGGATTTGGTGCATTGGTAGGTGGGTTTGAACAGTCGTTCTTGTAGGACGGGCTTCTCATCTCTGACAGTTAATACTCAGCTAAATCTACCTCCCTTCTGGACTCAGTGAACACTGAACACTGAATAAACAGAGTTAACTGCATACAGCTCTCCAAGCATGCTGGCCCCTGAATCAGAAGCATTGCCGTCCTCTCCAGTGTGGGGAAGTAGAGTCCAGGGAAGCCCAAGCAGGAGAGTTTCACTTGAACAACGGTCTTTCCTAGCCTAGCACTCCCCTCCTCCCTGGGACCTGCAGTTTCTCTAGTTTTTCTAGCAGTGGGACATATAAGAAACCAATTGGCTTTATGTCTGATAAACAAACTTTGCCCTTTGTACAACAGGTTGGAAGCCCAGCAACTCAGTCTCACCCTGGTCTTGTCCTCATTCTTCTGAGCTTTGGAAAGAGGAAGACTCTTTTCTTGTGGCTCTCAGAGTCCTGTGGCCAATTGGCACAAAGCCTGGAAAGATAAGAGAGACATGGTTAGGTTCAAGGTCACAGAGTAGGTAGGCCTTACGGTCAGTCCTGAGGCTTTGTTGACAGTTGTGAAGAAAGCTGGATAGCAAAGTTCTAGGCAGTACTTCCTGTTCAACAATAAAAGCCTTCAAAGTCAGTCCACAGCAGGAGGGAGAGAGTCCATGGCCATCCTGGAAAATCTGTTATCAACAGCCAACACCCTCTTGTCCTCTTGGTTACAGTATTCCAGGGCACACATGACAAAGGGTCATAGTCTGCCCAGAGAAAGTAGGCTCTACTCAACATTGTATCTAATGCATGTCTTTGGTTTAAGCCAGTTTACTTCTTGAAAGTGGACTTAATTTCTCACCCTGCCTCTGAGGATCCCCCATCACAGTCAGTTTCCAACCCTGCAACTGCAGAGAAGGACCAGTACTGCAGCAGTCTGGGGTCTACCAGAGGGAGGGGCTTAGGGACCCCTCAATGAGAGCAGTGCCTGGTGGTTTGTTTTGTGTTCTGACCTCACTTTGTGACCCACACCTGCCTCATAAATGCTATAGTCTATAAGTTGTTGGGCCCAGCCACACACTGTATTCATTACATTTGAAGGCTGATGGATCTGTTTTGTTAGTGGGAGAAAAAATAAGGTTTCTGTATCACCTTACCTCTCATTCTTAAGAGTAAAATTTTTATAAATTGTTTCACTGCATATTTTAGCATTGGTTAGTCAACAATTGATAGCATTTAGTTGAATGAGGGATTTTAATTTGGAAGTGTAGTTGAATACATATTAATAGAATGCATCTGTTGTTTTCCCAGTTAAGAACTTAGCCAGCCTCTAGAAGAACAGAAGCAAAGGCACCTGAGACAAGGAATGAAATACAGTCTTTTTCATTATAACATGAACATGAGACTTACCCTGCAGGGTTGTGAAAATGTAAACCAAACAAAAGGACTATGGACTGTTCTGTGCAAGAAATGTAAAACTCTTCTCTTGAAACAGCATGGTGGCTCATGTCCTTAATCCCAGAATTTAGGAAGTAGAGGCAAGCCAATAAAGCCTTTCCTTGAAGGATGGGGAACAGCTATAGAGATTTCCCAGAAAATGCCAGAACAGTGTCTAGACACTTTCCCTTCACCTAGTGTTCACCAAACACAATTTTCATTATTCCTTTGAATGTTAGCATTCCAGCAGGAATCTCTCTTGTCCAGTTTCATCTTTACACAATACAAGGGTCCAACGGAGGGGAGTATAAAGTAATATGGATATGTGTGTGAATTGGTAATTTGGTTATCCCAAGAACCATGACTGACAAAGAATAACAAGGGTGAGTGCATTCCTGATGTCTAAGACAACAGCACAGAAGACAGATCCTGAGTCAAGTGGGAGCCAGGGGCCTGCTGTGTGGACCTAGCAACTATACCATGGGATGGTGTTGCTTCAGGTCTACTCTCAGGGTGGCAGCTCTTCCGCTGAAAGTGACTTCCTAGCACCATAGCCAAAGAACATTCTTGGTGGCTTCTGTAGCAATTCTACATCGTTGAGGGCCAGTGGAAAAGGTTAATCCACACACAGTGATTTCCATGTTCTTCAGCTGAATTTAGTTACCTGGAGTAAGGTGATGGCCAAAGGTTACTAGAGAGCTTCCCCTGTTGGCTTCTTGCTAGTACCGAAGTCTCCCTCTGATTATTGCTCCACTGTGTAGTTTGCTTTGGGCCTGGGAGTGATGGTTTTTAGAGAGCTGTATCTTGTCACTTGGGATTTTGATCCAGCCTCTCCAGCAATGCTTAGCCTGAAACATTCCTCTGTCATCCTGGAGGACCTGTGTGAATCATTTGACCTCCCTCCATCAGCATCAAATCAGTAGGAGCAGTCTTAGGTTGGTCTTAGCGGATTTCTTATGTGAGTGAGAGACCACAGCGGGATTAATAGTGCAGCATTCTAAGACCCATTTGTGCCTTAACCATCAGAATGTGCTGAGATTTAGAATACCGGCAATTACTATCACAGGAGAAGTGAACATTTGAAGTGCTTCTATATCTTCTAAATTTCAGTTTAGTTGCCGGGCATATCAGTCTCTTAGATGTAGTATGGGAATTAAATTGGGGGTAAAGCATCTAAAAAAAAAAAGTGCCTCAGTGCAGATTTCAAAAAAATCTAAAAATTGAAATGATTACCAAACTACTTCTCTGTTGGAATAGCAATCAGTGTCAGTGCCAGGGGTTGCAGGGCAGAGCTGCGTCAGCTCAGCAGATGTTCTCAGGCCTGTGGTGGTGGTGGTGGCTGTGTCTGGCAGGGCCCAACTTGTTTTATTGATGTTCCTAATCAGTACAAGTATTTGCATGACATTTCCATTGTATTGAGTATGATAGTTTAATCTAGACCCCATTTGAAGTCCACCAGAGGATATGTGCAGGTTAAATTTGGCAAGTGTTACTCCATTTACCTAAGGGATTGAAACATCTGTGTGCTTTGATATCAGGCAGGTTCTAGAATCAACCCCTACATTGACTGCTTTGATTCTGCCCATGGGAGATTAAAGCTGTGGTTTTGATCAAGATAATTAGCTTGAAAGTTTATAACCCTATCACCTGCCAGAGGCCCAAGTAAAACATACACTAATAGGCTCAAAGTTTGAAATGCCTGTCTGAAAATAAATGCTTGGTCATTGCTGGAATGCCTGTAATTGTTGGCAAGGATGCACAGGCCCATTGATTGACGGTTTGGTAGTTTAAAAAGTAGAGCAGCCTGTATGACCAGCAGTACTACAAGAACAAATTAGCACATCTGTTCAATATATGCTGTTTCGACATAAGAGGAAAAGCTGGGATAGGTGAAAGAAGCCAGGAACAAGTATATATGCTCTCTGATTCTGTTCTAGAAATTGATGGTCATAGAAGGCAGGGATTGCTGAGGACTGCCTATAGATGATGGAGGGGAGTGGGGGGGTTGGTTGTAAAGAGCCACATTGGAAATTGTCTTAATTGTAGTTACCGTAACAACTACATATAGTTAGCAGACCTCAAAATGTACAGTTAAAATGAATATATATGTAAATAAATAAAGCTGATTTTCTTTTTAATTTTTTTTTTTTTTTTTTTCGTTTTTCAGTGCTGGCAAGTGTTCTGCAGCTGAGCCATACTCCTTGGCCCAAAGCTGATCAAGAAACAAAACACACACACACACACACAACCCATTTCATGAGATGTAGAAATTAAAACCATGGTCACAATGAGATAACAGGAGTACAGTTAAGATTGAAAGGTAGTTGTGACATTGGAATGGGTAAAGCCATTGCAGCTTGCATATGTGACTTAGGTAAGCATAAGATGTTGATCATGATTGAACTCTTCCAGTAATTTATGAAGACAGCATATCTACCTGTGACCCAAAGCATTGAGAGAAGCCAGACATAAGAAGGCATATTATATAGTTAGTTAACTGAAATTTGGAGGGTAACTCAGCTAAGGGTGCTGAAAGCAGTGGTGGTTGCCTTCATAACAATGGTAAAGGAGAAACCTCGTGGGTTGATAGTAACGCTACACTCTTGGGTGTTGTTTTTGTGGATGACGTGCTTGCTAAAACTTACTGAATTGTGTAAAACTTGTGCATTTGTAGACAGCATTTTATAATTGAAGTGAAATTGATGTGTTAAATTTTAGTATTTTAAGTGTACATTTCAGTGGTCATAATATTGGACAACTTTCACTTCCCCTGGATCTAGAACATTTTTTTAAACTTGAAAGCAAATTCTTCCCATTAAGCAGTTGCTCCTCCTTCCCTCTCCTTTCTCCCTACCCCGTAATCATCAGCCTTTCTGTTTTACATAAATAGAACTGTGATCTTAAGTATCTGGTTTATTTGACTTAGCATGAGTTCAGCATTCACTTTGTAAAACAAGTCAGTACTTCATTCTCTTTTTACTAGTTTATTTGTTATAGGAAGTGATGGGTTTTATCATGACATTTTCATCATACATATTTATCTCCCATTGCCCCATCTCCTTCCTCCTGGTGTCTTTCCTCTTCACTGAAAGTTGTATGTGTGTGTGCACTTTGAATAAAGGCTACACTGATGTGAGAAAACATTGTGGGAAGGGTTCTTTTAAAAATACAGTGATTTAATTTGTATGTGTACATATAAGTGCAGAAGTCCTCAGAGGCCTTAGCGGTCAGATCTCTCTTTGCATCTGGAGTTACAGGCAGTTCTGAGCCACCTGTGGTGGGTGCTGGGAACCAGCTTGGGTTCTCTGCAACAGTGTTTAACCATTGAGCCATCTCCTCAACCCTTGAAGCTCTTGGTGGGTTTGTTTTGCCTTGCTTTGCTTTGGTAGCCCAGGTTGGCCTTGAATTTGCAACAATCCTCCTGCCTTAGTATTGTAATTAAAAGTGTGTGCCACCACACCCAGTTTTGGTATTTGCCTTTCTGAGCTTGGCTTATTTTGCTTAACATGGTCTCCTGTTCCATCCATTTTCCTGCAGATGACAACAGTTATATTCCTTATAGATGAGTAAAATGCCATTGTGTATATGTGTTGGGACTAGTAGGCTAGTCCCAACTGGCTCTGCTATAATTCACATAGATGTGTAGGTCTCTCTGTGGTATGTTTAGATTCTTCCAAGAGTCTTCCCAGGAAGAGTATAGTTGGGCCATATGGTAGTTCTAGTTTCACTAGAATTTATTTCATAGTGTCTACACTAACTACATCCCACCAGCAATGTGTAAGTGTTCCTCTTCCCCCACATGTTCAATGGCATTTGTTTTCTTAATAGCCAATCTGGCCAGGTGGTGGTAACACACGCCTTTAATCCCAGCACTGAGGAGGCAGAGGCAAGCAGTTCTCTGCGAGTTAGAGACCAGCCTGGTCTACAATAACTAGTTCCTCCAAAGCCACAAAGAAACTCTGTCTCAAAAAACAACAACAAAAATAGCCAGTCTGACAGGATGAAATGCAATCTCAACATAGTTTTGATTTGTATTTCTCTGATGGTTAAGGACATTGAACAGCTTTTATGTATTTATTAGCCAGTTGAGTGTTAGTTAATATAGCTATTTGTAATCATTTTTTGAAAACTTCTCAGTTTATTTGCTTATTTATTGGCCCATTGGGAATGTCAGTATTTGATTTACAAAGTTCTTTATGTATTGTAGGTATTTCTCTTCAGAAATGTGATGCCACAGTAGAAAATAATAATGGTCAATTCTTTGTAAAAGTTGAGGAGCAGACATAGAATGGGGTATTTGGGAGGAGGAATAAACCCCATAAACCTTTCCTTGCTCTAAAGCTGTATGTCACAACCCCTTTAGGGGTCACATATCAGGCATCCATATCTCAAGATATTTTACATTATGATTCATAACAGCAAGATTACAGCTATGAAGTAACAACAAAAATAATTGTAAGGTTGGGGGCTCTCTACAACATGAAAGTATGAAAGATTCACAGCATTAGGAAGGCTGGAACCACTGACTAAAGAGTGGGAGACTCACCCAGGTAGTAGAGCTACAGTCTGAAAAGTGCTCATAATCACAGTAACTGCCTTCTGTCTGCCTTGACTAAATAGGAACCAAAATATCCTGATACTGGCACAAAAGTAAGCATGTAGATCATGAATTGAACAGAAGGCCCAGATAACCCATGCACCTACAGACACCCAATTTAAAAAAAAAAAAAAAATTATACCAGAAAGACACATTGAAGGGGGAAAAAAAAAAGCCTCTTCAAAAGATCTGTACAATGAAAACTTCAAGACACTGAAAAAC